ACTGCCTATTGATTAGATATTTCCCAAACACATATTATACTTCTAGAATAACTACCGTTTGAATAGCATAATTCTCACAATGATTAGTAAATGACTCTTCCAAACAATTTTAGGAAACGAATTAGTATACAGTATGTACAACTTACATATTTGATAAATACCTTTTTCTCTTTAGATGGATTAATTTTGATTTAAAAAAAAAATTATTGTTGAAAATTCACAGGATAGTAAGTTTACACTGATAATGAAGCTATCTTGCCTTATTTTAATCAACTGCATATTAGTGACACTAATACTTAAAAGGTGAGGCTATAATCTATGCTGAAAAACACAATAGAGCTACATTCTGTGACTACAGTATAAGACTTCTACACATGGACCTGACAAGAGTATTACACTGTTAACAACAGGACAAGACTCATACTCCAGATACATGGATGTCAACTGAAAGAAATCCTAGAGTGGCCAGGCCTGGTGGCTCACACTTGTAATTCCAGCACTTTGGGATGCCAAGGTGGTCGGATCACCTGAGGTCAGGAATTTGAGACCAGCCTGGCCAACATATTGAAACCCCACCTCTACTAAAAATACAAAAATTAGCTGAGTGTGGTGGCATGTGCCTGTAATCCCAGCTACTTGGGAGGCTGAGGCAGGAGAATCACTTGAACTTGGGAGGTGGAGGTTGCAGTGAGCTGAGATCATGCCATTGCACTCCAGCCTGGGCGACAGCAAGGCTCTGTCTCCAAAAAAAAAAAAAGCAATTCTAGAGCTCATCTATAACCTAACTGAGGTCACTTGTACAGAATAAAGAACTGACTTCTCAAAGCTAAAAAAAACTTTGTTCTGCCTTCACATGGAGATCTTTACTCCACCTGGAATTAATTTTTGTAGATGGTGTAAGGAAGAGTTCCAGTTTTTTCTTGGGTTCCCAGCTGCACCAGCACCATTTACTTCCTCTACAGTGCTCTATCTGGCATAAAGTGTCCACAATATGTAAGTCTGTTTCTAGGTTCTTTATTCTGTTTCACAGGTATGTATGCCTATTCCTTTACGGATACCATATTTAATAATTAATATGGCTTTTTAAAGACTTGACATATGATAAAGCAAGTCCTTTTTCTTTCTTCTTCAAGACTGTCTTAGGTATTCTTAGTGCTCTGCATTTCTACATAAATTTTAGAATAAGCTTGTCAAATTCTACCAGAGAGACTACCAGGATTTTAAATGAAATTCAAGTATCTCAAATCTATAAATCATTTGGAAGAAAATTATATCTTTGCATTTTTGAATCTTTTAATGCATGAACAGGATATACTTCTCATTTAATTAGGTTTTCTTCAGCGTTTCTCAATAAAGATTTGTAATTTTCCCGCAAAGGTCTTGCACTTCTTGCCACACTTAGTCCTTGATATCTTCTGACACTTTGGAAACAGTATGTATTTTAAAAATTTTTAATCAAAACTATAGGCCAGGTGCAGTGGCTCATGCCTATAATCCCAGCATTTTGGGAGGCCAAGGTGGGCAGATCACTCGAGGTCATGAGTTCGAGACCAGCCTGGCCAACATGGTGAAACCCTGTCTCTACTAAAAATACAAAAAATTACCCAGGTGTGGTGGTGGGCGCCTGTTATCCCAGGTGCTTGGGAGGCTGAGGCAGGCTTGAACCCAGGAGGTGGAGGTTGCAGTGAGCTGAGATCACGCCACTGCACTCCAGCCTGGGTGACAGAGTGAGACTGTCTCAAAACAAATAAAAATAATTTAAAAAATAAACACACACACACACACACATATAAAATCATCTCTCTTCACTTGGCTTATTCCCTGAGCCTATAGGCCTCAATTAAATAAACAAAACAAAAACCCACTTTCCGTAACTAATACACTAGGTTCACCCTTACTTAATTGGTGTTTTTATAGAATGTTGTACACCCCTGCCGTAACACTCATCACATTTCATTATATTAACTGTTATGTCTTTGACTATAACCTCAGCCTAGGAAAGTGCAGCATCTGTGTGCTGCTATGTCCCCAGTGCATAAGGCATTCATATATTTGTTAAATGAATGCAAGCATACTTGCTTTCAAGAGACAGGGAATATATTACTGTGACTAGAGCGGAAAGTCCATACTGGGTAAAATAGAAGGTACAATTTGAAAAGATAGACTGGGCCTATACTGTTGAATTTTAATGAATCACAGCTTTCTGTGCAGTAGGGATTAGAAAATTGGCATTAGAAAGTTTCACATGGCAACGGCATTAACAATGAATCAGTGATAGGTGAGATTAAATAAGAAAAAAACTGTTTAGGAGGTTACTCTTATCTTGGTATGAAGATATAAGGTCTGCCCTCATGGTTTCAGGAATAAATGGAAAAGAAAGGACAAGATTCAGAAATATCATGCGATATTACAAACTCCAAAGGAAGAATTTATATATAGCTTCATAACTAATTTGCTAAAGAGGTAAAGTTCTCTTTTACTTCCCCTAAGTATTATCTTTCATTTCTGTCATTAATATAATATCATCCTCAATGAAGAGCCATGTCCTCATATGGTGAAAAGTGAAAGGAGAATACAGAGTATAAAAAAGTGTGAGCCAGGCATGGTGGCACACACCTGTAGTCCCAGTTACTTGGGAGGCTGAAAGGGAGGATTGCTTGAGACCAGGAGTTCAAGGCTGCAGTGAGCTATGATTACTAATATACCTGCAGAATATAAACTTGGGAATCTCTTTGGTTGTTTTACATAAAGAAGAAGACATACACCAGCAACACAAGGATACTGAACAGCTTGGAGGAGAGGGGCAGAAACACTAGGGAATCTCACTAGAAAAGAAAAAATGGGAATGAAGAGACTACAGCTTCATTCATTTCACAAGTTCACCTTTGACCTCCTCTTTCACCAAATAGTATTATTTCCAACTCACTCAGTTACTGAATAAATACTATGTACTAACCACCATTTACCCTTTCTTTCTCAACTATTTCTTTTCAGCCAATGCCTGATGTGAACATTATTTCAAATCCACTGGTAGCAAATATCACATAAGTCAGAATGTTAAATCATTCACCAGCCCCTGGGTGCTGCTAAATTGACCATTGTTTTTTCCATCTCTTTCAAAGCATATGTAAAGTGTCTTTTCACATATAGATTGCAATGTGGATATAAAATAAGCAATTAAAAAAACAAAAACAGCTCTGAAGTAAAAATTTTACCCAAGTTAAAGACATACCTGATTATTGATTGTACTACTAAGAACTTTAAACCAATCATTAATAACAGTGTCATTGTCAGACTGAATTAGCAGTTCTGTTCCTTGACGAGTTTTCAGCTTTAGAGAAAAGCAGGGAGGAAAAAAAGAATATGGTTGGTTTGTGCTTTCGGCAAAATACATGAATACTTTAATTCAAAGTTAAAGTCACCAAGAGTAACTGCTATATATTATGTAATAATGATGTAATAATGATGTAATGATTATAATATGATGTTATATATTATGTAATAATGATGTAAGGTTAAAGTACTACACAGCTATGGAATACCTTTTTAGTTTAAAATAATATCAGTTGAATAAAACATAAAGTTGTTTCTCATAATAAATTCTCATAAAAATCTAATAATTTAGGATCCCAAATACCCTCATACAAATGCCATAAAACCTGCTGAAACTAGTATGGTTTATCACTTAAAAATCAGTTCAAGTATCAAAGCAGTACATTCTAAATTAGAATAAAGAAATAAAATCTATGACATTTTTACATGACCTGAGAAATTTTTTTCGGTCTCTCTGGCTAAAAAATACAGAGGAAAGAATATCTAAAGACTTTCAATAGTTCCTAATTAGTAAGTAAATATAATGGCTTAGTTCAAAGGACATAGATAAATGTCACACCCCTTTTGGGCAGAAATATTACAAATTAAGTGTCAGATCATAAACTGAAGAATACTATGTATTATTCTATATGAAGGCAATAACTAATTTATGCACAATCTCTGTTCTGCAGTTTCTTGCACTTAATTGAGGAATAATATTGACACATTGTGGAAACCGCTCCTCCCATTTTCCGATTAAAAACTGATTTTTTTTTCCCTAGAGGAAGATATGGCAATGTTTCCCAAGCAACATTCTGAAAGACATACTCTTCAAACACAGTTTCACAAATACTGTTTTTTTTTTTTTTTTTTTTTTTTTTTTTTTTTT